GTACATGGTTTAGTGATATTTTAATTAAATGATAGTTATTTTGTGAATTTTATGTTTGTAGGAATTTGGTATACGTTTCAGTTGAAGTAAACGTGTATGGAAATAATTTAAATATTTGACACTAAGTATTTGTAACTATTTTTAATGTTTGCGTATAAATTCATTGCTGACGTTTATAATATAATAGATAATTTAGAGGTAAAAGTTTTTGGATATTTTATTTATTTGATACTTGGAAATGTTCATTCTTGGAAAGGGTATATACTTTTTCGCGATCAGGTAATTTCATATATGTTCTTTTTACCGGATTTAAAGATTCACAAAATTTTCATGCATTTTCGTGAAATTTTTCTAATTTATGACAAAAAAGCAGTGTACATGGATATAGTGAAGAGTGTGCACAATGCCATTTTTGTGCAATTCTGGGATTTTTTTCAAGTAAAAATAAGTCGACGTGTACATGGTTTAGTGATATTTTAATTAAATGATAGTTGTTTTGTGAATTTTATGTTTGTAGGAATTTGGTATACGTTTCAGTTGAAGTAAACGTGTATGGAAATAATTTAAATATTTGACACTAGGTATTTGTAACTATTTTTAATGTTTGCGTATAAATTCGTTGGTGACATTTATAATATAATAGATAATTTACAGGTAAAAGCTTTTTGATATTTTATTTATTTTATACATGGAAATATTTATCCTTGGAAAGGGTATGTACTTTTTCGCGATCAGGTAATTTCATATATGTGCTTTTTACCGAGTTTAAAGATTAAGAAAATTTTCCTGCATTTTCGTGCAAATTTTTGTAATTTATGAGAAAATAGCAGTGTAGATGGATAAAGTTAATAGTGTGTGCAATGCCATTTTTGTGCAATTCTGGGATTTTTTTTAAGTAAAAATAAGTCGACGTGTAAATGGTTTATGTGTATGTGCTATTCTGAAAAACGTGCAAGGAGTTTGCGATTCTGCACTTTTTCCAAAAGTGCAGAATCGCAAACTGTCATGATTAAGTTACATAAAATTTCTAGCATAAGTGTAATTCTGCTAGTAGATTGTTGGAAAAAGTGTTGAGTAAATAAAAAGAAAAGAAATATGTCTTTACTTCGTGAAGACAAAATGGCGGCAAAAAAAAAAAGTAGAGGGTTGCTGTAGCAGAGTTGGTCGCCAAATTTTCGCCAAGTTACCATAATCTAAAGATCAACCTGGTTTTTTACTAAATACAGTCAAAATCGTTAATTCGGACACCCATAATCCGGAATGATCTATAATCCGGACCTCAAAGCTACAAACTTTCTGCGCATGCGTCGCGTTCACGCATGCGCACAGGCATTTACAAGAGCGTGTAAGACCTTTACGGCTGCTAATATGTTTGTGCGCATGTGCGTTTAATGTGTAACGGAGGTATAAGCTGAGCTAAAATTATCTAATCCAGTTAATGTTGCAGATTGTGTTGTTCCTTAATCTTCGAATTGGATCCGGCTTATTATTTTTTCCAGACTGTTAGAGCAATTTCATAAAAGTAAGCTTGAACTTTTGATTATGTCAAATAGAATTTCCGATATATATTTACTAATATGTAATTTGTATCTACAAAGCCAAAGTATGTTTTGAAATCCGAAATCTGTTTATCAATTTCACGCTGCTCTGTGGCGGTGTGGGGTGGGGGAAACGCAGCGCAATTGAATTGGAAGTTGATCTGTCAGCACTATCCCTATCTTCAGGGGAGATATTTTTATTTTATTCGTCTTATAATTCCTTTCTAAATGTAGTATTTCATTCTCGATATACTCCGTCTTTGATGTGATTTAAATCAAGTTCCTCATCATTATAATTCGCTTCCGATAGTGAAGAAAGTGAGGTTGATCTTTACAATATGGTAACTGGTAGTTTGGCGACATTTTAGAGGCGATAAAGGTTACCTGGGACTTTGGTAATAATGTGAGCAGTACTCAGTTCCGATTACGCATTATTTTGTGTGAGGGAAATGAGAGATCATGGGATATGTCATGCGATATTAATGGACGAATTACGGTTCTTTAATCGGAAAAGGGAAAAAATCTGGAAATTTTGTATTTGGCTTTATTCTGTGTTGTGTGAAACAGTGTTCGTGAATTTTTGGATCCCATGGCCGTAACTAAAGTGAATTCGAAATGGGTATTTATGTATGTATTAATTTAATGTATGTGCTCATTTTTATTTTAAGTAGTGTTTTGAATTTAATTATATTTTAATTAAATGATAGTTATTTTGTGAATTTTATGTTTGTAGGAATTTGGTATACGTTTTAGTTGAAGTAAACGTGCATGGAAATAATTTAAATATCTGACACTAAGTATTTGTAATGGTTGCGGTATGAATTCGTTGGTGACGTGTATAATGTAATAGATGATTTAGAGGTAAAAGTTTTTGGATATTTATTTTATTTTATATGTGGAAATGTTCATATTTGGAAAGGGTAAATACTTTTTCGCGATCAGGTAATTTCATATATGTTCTTTTTACCGGGTTTAAAGATTGAGAAAATTGTCATGTATTTTCGTGAAATTTTTCTAATTTATGAGAAAAAAGCAGTGTACATGGATATAGTGAAGAGTGTGCGCAATGCCATTTTTGTGCAATTCTGGGATGTTTTTTTAAGTAAAAATAAGTCGGTGTGTACATGGTTTATGTGTATGTGTTATTTTGAAAAACGCGTAAGGAGTATGGTATTGTGCACTTTTTCCCAATTTTGCAGTGAATATTTGTCATGATTAAGCAGTTTTGTTAGATAAAATTTCTAGCATAAGTGTAATTCGGCTAGTAGATTGTTGGAAGAAGTGTTCAGTAGATAAAAAGAAAAGAAACATGTCTTTACTTCGTGAAGACAAAATGGCGGCGGGAAAAAAAATAGAGGGTTGCTGTAGGAGAGTTGGTCGCCAAATTTTCGCCAAAAAAACGCCAAGTTACCATAATGTAAAGATGACCGAAAGTGACCCAGAGGTTATTGAAAACGAAAACATTTCGATTGACAAGTAAGTCGGTATTCTCGGCACAGCAATTACGGGACTTGAACAGCGGAACTTTGTAACTGAACAAGAAATTATGTCTGTTTATAGAATTAAAGAGAAAGTATTATCACCGAAAACGAAGCAACTTAAACAACTTACATTGAAAGAAATGTTTAATAAAGTAAACAAATAAATGTTAAGGTTTTTTTTGTAAATTTTGATACCCTTTAGATCATAATTGTTCTTTTATTTCATAAATTACGGTTTCATATTTTTAATTTTATAATTTCTGCATGCCATCTTACTAGATTTAAATTGATGATCTATAATCCGGAATCGCCGAAGTCCCGACGAGTCCGTATTAACGACTTTTGACTGTATAACTCTATAGGTCACAGAATGATACAGAAAGTTGGATTTTTGAATTTTTAGAAAACTGATTTCACCAAAATTAATAAACCACCTTTAAGATAACTACTATGTTGGCAAATAAGTGACTGTGGATTTTAAATAAGTAAAATTCAAAACTTTTACTTTATTAAATTAGATATTGTCCTTTGTTGTCAATAACCCTTTACCATCTTCCAGGCAGTGTATCAAAATTCCATATTCATAAAACTCCTAACTTTCATCAGCAAATAAATTAAACGAGATTTCGCATCATAAAATTTTACCTTTTAACCCTCTCAGCATTACGGCCGAAAAATTCCACACAGAAGAATACCTTCTATATTCATTATATATGAAAATTTCTGCTAGTTTTTAATGTATCTGATTTTGGTTTTGATGCATATTGGAAGAAAAGGAATCAAGGTACAAAATGAGAGAGCCATTTTTCAATTAAAATCAAGAAAATACCACTTATTCATGACATTTTGAGGAACTTTGAAATTTTAGGGCTAAACCCGTAACACTCGGAGGGTTAAGGAGTTCTGATTGGAAAAAAATGAATGGAAATCTGAAAGTGCAATGTCAGAGCTATATGGTGGATGTGACAACACATCTGAACCTAGCTCCAGTAATTTTTGGCAAGTGACCAAAGATATATAACGTTTTGCATTATCATGTTCGAAAACAACAATACAACAATCTTATGATATGCCAATTCTGGCCACTTTTCTTGAATTGCATTATTGAGGTGTTAAATGCAGACATTTCAATTAACTGTTTGGTTTCTTGGTAAAAGTTCAGAGTGCAGAATTCCTTTATAATCCAACTAAACTGACAGCATAATCTTTTTCTGATAAATCTTGGCTTTTCATGCGGTCTGGGCTGGTTTATCCTGCTTATTCCATGACCTTTTTTAAATTAGCATTGTTAGAAACTATCCAATTTTTATCGTCAGTAACCAGCTGCTTCAGAAATGAATGAAATTTGCTGTCTTTCAGAAGCAAATAATAGGTGCTTCCACATATGGCACGTAACTTCTTGTATGTTTGTGATATGCTCTGCTTTTTTAAAAACAACAGAATAAAATATATCTGAAACATACGTTATGTTCTTCTATTTTAAAACTAGAATAAAAACAAAGCTACATAATTAATTGATACAATTTTCTTACCAATTAAAGGTGGAAGTCCAAACAACAAGAAAACAATACAGGTCAAGTGCTTTGAACATGCTGACAAAACAAAAGAATGAGCTAAAACCACCAATCAACAAACTCTACAATAACTAGTTGCCATCCCAATACCTATTGTCGCTTACTGAGATAATCTTAAGTATATAATTGTCACAGGAAGATTCACTAAAAGATGGTGATTTTATTAAAAAACAGTATTGCAATCATTTTTTTCTTCTGAGTATTTGACAACAAAATTTAAAATACATATTTTTCACTCGGAAGTTAATAAATACAGTTTGATATTTAAATTAAAAACATAATTTTCGAAACCACAGAAACAAGGCGCTGTATTTATTATAGTTCGGAATCCCGTCATTAATCACAAAATCTGTAAAAATTATCACATCTTTACACGTACAGAATATGTTAGATTATATCGATCTTACCTGAAGCTTGTATTGTGTCATAGGATCGTCTACTGACTCAGTCATTGTCTACGTTAATAAATATTAATTAGTGCTTGCAACACACACACAATAACAGTTCCTAACAAAAACAGCTTATTGAAGCATAGATAGACATCTATCATTTTAAAAAACAAATTCCAATAACATTCTGCTGCGGACAAACAGATAAATTAGACAGATGTATTGTTTTGCACCCAACATGTCTTTTTGCTCGCATGGGAAAAAACCAAGCCCAGTGCGAAAGACATTTGACTTTTTACTCGCCCAGACGGAGCTAGGACAAGGACAAAGTTGGCCTTGGGTAAAATTCATACATTGAACTGCGGTGCTTAACCACCAGGGTGCCTGGGCGCCATAGCCCTACCTAAGGCTCCTATACACCAGGCTGAATCAACTACAATCTCAAATCCCAACCAGATCCTTTTGATCTTTGCCGCCTGGTAAAGTCCACTTGAAACAGCGGGTGTGGAAGGTTGATCGTGGCGAGGGGAAACCGGCAGAGAGTGTGGTATTCATTTTTGCTCTTGACTGTTGCGGTGTGCGCTTCAAAAGTAAAGCACTTTTGCTCTGCTTATTTTTGTAGCTCTTATTTAATATTTTACAATATTCTTTTAGCTGTTATTTAAAATTTACAATATTCTTTTCAGAATTTACGAGTTATTTTTTTCAGGTTTGATAAGTTAATTTTTTTTTCAGATTTTACAAGTTATTATTTTTTTCAAATTTACAAGTTATTTACTATATCTTTTGCTTATCTGTGAGCTAATTTAAGATTTTACAATATTCTTTTCAGGTTTTACAAGTAAATTTTTTCAGGTTTTCCTTTCAGATTTTGCAAGTTAATTTTCTGTTTATTATCCTGCTTAACTTGATTATTATTTCAGAAGTAATAAGGCATATATATTCAGCACTGTTTTTATCCTTAATTAATTACTGGGCGTTATTAAAGCATGATTTTTTACTTTTTGGGTAACAAACATTTCCATTAATTACCTTTTTTTCTATGTAAAAACTCTGGTTTGGGAATACTTACTTCGAGTACCAATTTTTATTTTTCATAGGTACAGAAGAAACTGAAAAGTACTTTTTTTTTTTTTTTCAAAACTGTTTCTTATGCTTGGTTGATTTTAAATACGGCATTATTGATATATATTTCCGTACAATAATTTTGGTTTTTTGTTATGAATATTATGTGCTAAGTTATACAGCTGCTATTTACAGCATATTTATATATACACACCATGATAATGACTCTGTGTATTGATGCAATTTAAAAATCATCTAAATATTACTGTTTTTTCAAGTGTTCCTATTTAGATTGCCATTTGTATTTTTCTGATAACTACAGAGTTCTTATGTTGTTAAAAACTAATACACTAAGAATATTTTATATACTAAATATGTCATCGATAAGTTCTAGGTTTTGTTGTGCTTCTTGTGACTGCTCATTTTCTGTTAAAAGTAATTTATATAGACACATAAGAAATTTTCATTCTGAACATAAGTTGGAAAACTTATAATGAAAGAGATGTACTCTGTGTAATGAAAGGTTTACTTCTATGAAAGAGTTGCATGACCACATAGATTCTGTCCATACAGATATAAGGTTAAATTTTCAGGAACTTATTTTTCATTCTAAATCTGAATTCGAAAATTGGAAAGAAGATGTTGAAAAAAGTAGTCAGTCCTTTTTTGCCAAAAACGAACGACTAAACGTTTGGCAGATGGGACAATTCGTAGTTATTTCTTATGTAATAGAAGTGGTTCATGTAAAATAAAAACTGACAGAATACGTCACATGAAATGTGGAGGTTCAATTAAAATAGGGAAACATGTCCTGCTGAAATAAAAGTGTCAGAGAAAGAGATCGGGATATTTTTTAAATTAAAGTTAGTTACCAATCACTGCATGTTGGTCATAGGCATGAAGTTGGGAAATTGCCGCTCTCTTAAACTGAAAAATCTAAATTAGCAGTATGATGCAGCAAGGTATTCCAAAAGAAAAGATTTTAATGTCCATTCAAAGTAGTTATTCACCAACAAAAGAATTGGTGTACTCACTTAAAAGATTTACAAAATATTTCTAGAGGTATTCAGGTAAATAATGAAATTGTTTTTGACACTAATGATGCAGTATCGGTGGACTTAAAAGTCCAGAAAATGAAAGCTGAATTGGTTGTCCAATTTTGTTGTACAAGAAAGTCGGTGACGAACTGCCAGGTTTTCAAGGTGTATCAAGGGATGATTTCCTTTTAGGGTTATGAATGGTGCCCAACTTAGGTTGCTGGAATTAAACAGCAGCTGTATTATGATAGACTCTACTCATGGTATGAATCAGTAGGATTTCAATTAACTTCTGTACTTGTCAATGATGATAATCATGAAGGTTTTCCTGTTGCTATTTTGTATTCATCAAAAATAACAGCACAAACTTTATACCATTTTTTTCAGCTATTAAAGATAGTTCCTAATCTTAAACCTAGGTTTTCATGTCAGACGATGCTCCGGCATTTATAAGGCATGGTGTCAAGTTTTTGGTTAAGTTGATAAGTCTTTTTGTGTAGCTGGCATGTTCGCAGAGCATGGATAAAAACTTATCTAAAATAAAAAACGGTGACTTAAGGTTAAAATTGCAAATGAGTTAGTGCAAAATAATGCACGAAATTGACATAGTGTCTTTCAAAAGATTTCGGATATCTTTGTCACCAGCTGTTTGTCTAATGAAGAAACAAAGCTTTTGGAGAATATTTCTACAAAAATTATATGTCTCAAGCCTGAGAAATTGGCCTATTGCTATCGAATTGGATTAGGGGTTAATACAAATATGAAAGTTGAAAGGTGGCACAAGCAGCTTAAGTATGAACATGGTAACGCAAAGGTGATAAAGAGACTAGATTATTCTTTATCTTTGGTGTTAAATGCTATTGCAAGGAAACTGATGAATCGTGCAATATCTTTAGAATGTCATAAATTGACAACTAGGGTCACAGAAATTCGTATGCGACACAGACAGAGTATGAGTATGCCTGAATATCAGGTAATTGAAATCGAGCCTAAGAAACAGTGGTCAGTTTCGAAGGCTGTTATTTCAAGAGAAATTACATTTATGATGTTCGGATTCATGATCCTTGTGCATGTAGCATAAGGTGTGATGACTGTAATATTTGTATTCATGCATTCTCCTGTACTTGTATTGATTATAGTATCCGTTTCAGTATTTGTAAGCATATTCATCACGTATGTCAAAACCAGGTAACTGAAGTTCAGAGATCTGGTGTGCCAGAAAATGATGAGATTCATTCATATAATTTGGTAACTGATATGACTGAGAGGGATTCCAGGCATGCCGAAGAACGTTCGGCAATAGTTAATGAAATAACGAGTGAACAAAATGCTGAAAGTTGCAAAAGTATTAGACGGGAAACAATGAAATTGTTTGAGAATTTATCAAGAATGTTGCAAACTATTGAAGGTCTTAGAGCATTAAGGTGTGATTGTTGTCGTTATATGCTAAATCAGTCAAATTCTTATTCCTGTATCCTCTACTAATAATCGAAAATATAACCCACAAAGGAGATTTGAAGATATGTGTGTTTTACGTTGAATAACTCTGTATTTTATGTAATATGTATTACTTTTCCTAGGTTATGACTATACAATTCTTTGTTTGATGTTGTATGTGTTACTTTCTCTAGGCTATGAGTATATTATTATGGTATTTTTTTTCTTGTTTGTAATATATAGAAATATAGCATATTTTCCAGTATAAATTCAGTTAACTTTACTTAATAGTATGGGAAAGCAGATTTGTTTCATGCGTGATTCTTATAATACTTGAAAATGAATGAATTTTAATCTGTAACATTTTTTTTTTTTTTTTTTTTTTTTTTTTTTTTTTTTTTGTTAATTATTGAAATATAGCTTTGTTTTCTTTTAGATACACTTTTAGGCACATGTGTGATCATATCAGACGAATGCAGTAGAAAAATATGCATAAATTTTCCCATATATTATTCCATATTGCTTTATTTGAAGAACTGGGTCATTGTGCTGCTTCAGTGAACATTCATAAATATGCATTTGAAATTTGACTATTCAGTGCAGGAAGTGGAGTTATACTTTAAAAAATCATGTTCCTTAATTTCAAAAAACTAGTAATTTTCATTGTCATACTACATGTTATAATCTCTGTGTAAAGGTAACGGACAAAATAAGTTATTATGTGTATCTGTTTTTTAAGCATAATAGTTTTGTTCATTTTAGTAGTACATGAATAAAAGATGGTATGTGTTACTTCAATTTATCTAAATTTTTCATTGTTATACTGCATGTTATTTCTCAGTGTAATGCTTGAATGAAAGATGGTATGTGCATTCCTTCATTTTAACAAAACTTCAAAAATAGTATTTTTCACCATGACATATAGTTTTTCCCCCTTGTTACGTTTTACATTGAGAAATACTGTTTGTTATTTCTCAATGTAAAACGTAACAAGGGGAAAAAACTGGTATGTGCATCTGGTTTTTTAAGCATGTAATTATTTCTTAGTGATCCACATATAGAAGGTGTTTGGTCAAGTTAAAACAAATCTATTTTACTAGACCTCTCCCCCCCCAGGTGTAGAAAGTTTCAAGTGCCGAAAGTTTTTTTGCAAAATTAATCACTTCTGATAAACTTATTATCATTAATTTTTACACTTTTACTACTGTGTAATTAAACTGTATTTATGGCAAAAAATGTACTATAATTTTGCATCTGGGAGTAATATCATATGCTTCTTCTAGAATATTACTTTAACTTTTGCCATAATTTGTGTATTTAAGGTATACAGAACTGTTATCTGATATACTTAAAAGTGTTTAACTCGATCAATTAATGGATCGAAGATATTTGTCATGGTCGGTTCTAATTATTCTTCTAATAAAAGTATGTTAAAATGTAGTGAATCATAAGACTAAATGATTTTATTGTTAGATTTGCCCAGGCTGAAGAAGTACTTCCGCCCGTGAAATTGTCAGCAAATGTCCTGAACAGGCTTTTTTTTGATAATGACTTCCAGGCTTATCAGTACCTCCTTTTGAGTGGAGGGTATGCAATTGTAGTACCCGATTTAAATTACATTGTAATTGTATTATGGTATTAATAGTTATTGTAATTGCATGTAATTATATTGTATTGTGAACTCTAATTTCATTACTTATGCGATTATGCTGTAAGTGCATAATCTAATTGCAATGATATAATCTAATCACAATTACGAATTAATTATATTCCAGTTACCCTTAATTTGAGGCCATTTTAATATTTTTAAATTTTTGTGAAAAAAATTCCCATAAGGTTCATTTGAAGGAAACTATGCACAATACT